ATGCTGCTGGGGTCAGACCACAGACCCAGGCAGCTTCTCAGAAATCTGTCTCCAAACAGCCAGGGACAGGAACTTCAAACCAAACAACCCATGCTGGACAGCACTTGCAATGCAGGATTTAAGAATAATGATAATAATAATAAAAGTCATGTATAAGTGGAGGCTTGCCAGTTGTGTATTTTCCAGCTGACCTCTTGTTTTCCAAGAGTGTCTGTGCAGAGGGAAAAGATGGAGGTATTTTCTATAATATCTGGGTAAGCTCAAGGAGCAAGAGTAAAACCTACAAGCTGGCTAAACTTTTTAAAGTAAGTAAATAAAATCCTTGTCTTCGGAAAAAACATGATCAGTAAGATCAGACCTGATAGCTGATCCTGATGTAATAGGAAACTCTTGAGAAGAGCATCATCTGAGAAGGTGTCTGGTCACTCACAGGTCCCTTGGGGGTTGAAGTCTTGATGGGAGAGTGAAGTGAGAATAAAAGGCCGAGCACTTGACAACGTCTTCTTTGTTATGTCCCTTGTCCAGCCCTGAACCACATCTTTAAGTTGCCATCCCTAAGACAATAAGAGTCCTGTAAAGAGAAATTTTGCCCATGGAGTTGCCATCCTGTGCTTAAAATGATCATTTGGAATTTCTTGAATTTGATAGGATAGAGGTAAAAGGTTGTCTCTGAAGCCTTCGAATGTTCTGCCGCCTGTCTGACACTGGAGGAAAAGGGAGAAAAAGACAAATTCCTAAACCTTAAAAAGGTTCTTAATTGGAAGACAAATTAAAATAGATGTCTTATTAAACTAGTGAAACTGTTACTGTGCATTCAGCTGTCAGGGAAAGATTTTCCTGAAGAGTTTTCATGAATTGCTCAAAGAAATCCAAAGGAAGAGAATTAGTTTTCATTTTCCCTCATCTCATTCCATGCTTTTTTTCTCCTGTTCTGTTTTTATGAAGATGTTGCTCCTATCTAATCCGATTTCTCTTCTACATTTCTTTAGTGTAACTTACGTTTTCAGGGCAGTTGTTTAACTGATCTCTCTTGTTTTGACTCTGTTCCCTCCAAAGTTTTTGCAGGTATCAATTCTCTTCACATGCTATTGTTAAAATAAATAATATTAGTGTTCTCTAATGTGTGTTTCAAGCCACAAGTGAGACCATTGAATGATAGGGCCCAGAACAACAGCCTGAGGAAGCTTGATTGATTGGAAAAAAAAAAATCCCTACAAAGAAGTAAGGCTGGAGCAGAGGTGGTTTATCTTCCCTGTCTCTTCTAAAGCAGCGTCAATCACCTGTGTTGTTTCTGACAGATGCATCACTAATCTTAAAGATCTTGCCTTATCCTTCCGGGTTAAAAGGGTTTTGATAACTACTTTCAGGTTATTTTCTTTCAGTTGGATTTTTACTCGTTCATTTTCCTCATTGTTTTGAAAAATGTTAAGAATACAGACTGCCCCGGGCAGTTTCCTAAGTGAATGTCATTTAGTCTAGCCCATATCAAAATGCTAAAATATATCTAGCTACTCTCTGATACAGTTTTTATGCCGCAGGAATTCTTTATGTGTTCAGCCTTGGTAATTTGACAGTTTCCACTGTTCTTCTCAATTTAACCTGTTAAGAAATACAGTAAGAGATCAGACTTTTTATTTGTATGATTTGATTGAATGGCAGTTCAGTTGCAAAGCGGCTAGTTTTTCAGTTTTTCTGAACTTTTCAGAAGCTTTCTGAACTTTTTTTTGGGGGGGGGCATTGTAATGCCTTTTTCAAATTTTATCAAGTTTGATTTTTCTAAAGTTCATCACCTTTTGTTGTATTCTTTTCTGCCCCCCTTTTTTTTCCCTATGGTTTCACCATTGTAGTGTCTCAGGTGATTTTTTCACCTTCATATTTCCTACTGTTTCTTGAGTGAGAAAACTCTCTTTTCTCTTGGTGAGAAATCAGAAGTTGAGGACTGAAAAAATAGAATGAAGATTATGAACAGATTATGTGGCATTGAAATATGCTTTTCAAGGACTTGCCTGGCAGCAGAGGTAGGTAGCAGTCTTTGTTCCCACATTCAACACATTCAAGAAAAAATAGATTGGCTTAATGGTGCTCCATTTCTTGTTTTTTTGGATTTTCTCTGCACTGCATTGATGATGGAATCTACATAACTGTTCTTCCTTGGAGTACCAGAAAAATGCCTGTTTTGCTTGTTTTTGGTTTGTTTTGTTTGTTTGTTTGTCTGCTTCTTTGCTCTCTCCTACAGTAATAATTAAATGGTTTGTTGGCCAAACAAAAAGTGGAACGTATGCCTGGACATCTGTCAAAATGTTGGTTACCCTTCCTGTAGCAGGTATATTGAAAGGAAGCTTACTGTCACCATTCAGAAGAGATCCATAATTTAAGTTGGGAAGACTGTGTGCAGCTTCTGGTCAAGGGTTATCAGGAAAGCGACGGGCACCAGAGCTGTGCAGTAAAGATTATCTGGTCCTGAAGGGATCTTAGAGAAGGTCTACGAAGGTCCTAAGGATGGAAAAGGGGTGAGAACTTGACTTGTTTAGACGAGCAATGCAGACCAAAGGTTGGCTAGTGTAGGTATATTGGGTGCAGCCATTACGCATTGTGGGTGCAGACTTCTAGACAACAAAGGCCAATGCAATTACAAGAAAAAGTAGGTGTAAATTGGGCATGAGACCTTTCAGACTGAAGACTAGAAGGTTTCTACCAAACTGGCAGTGGGAAAGTACGAGTAAAAGCTTCCCAGGATGAATCCAGATCAAAACTACATGATACTTATATAGGAAGAAAACAGAGAAGGTTGCTTCTAGCAGGAAGGATTTGAAGTTCCTGACTTTAGGCCACCTAGTCCCATTCTTGCAAGTTTGTGGGACAGAAGAATTTCTTCTCTTATTTGAGAGCAGTTTTATCCAAGAATTTTCATTATGAAATGATTATCTAGTTTTGTCTATCATTCTATCTAGTCACAACTTCAAAAGGTTCCTTAAAATGCATTTTGTGGAATTATAGGCTGGCAAGTTTGCCATTACAGGATAGAAGCAAAAGCATGAGGATTATCACAGGTCACCCAATGTCTGTGCTATTTCCATCATAGCACTTGCAGTAAATCACATGGTTTGAGTAGATGGGGTCATTCCAGAACTTTGGTTTCTCATTTGTTCTCAACAGCTGAGAGTTTTGAATTCATTTAATATTTGTTATTATATCTCTCAGTGCATTTGAATGTAATAGAGTCAAGTGACTTTTTATTTTCCTAAGAATTTGATCTAAGTGATCTAATTCTGCAATCTGTGTACTTTAAAAGGAAAGTTGATTAATATAAACAAGCAGCTTTGGAGAAATTAAAAAAGATACAGGGAAGTTAATACTTTTCATTTTAATTTTCTTCATAATTATATTTTTCTTCATTTAAATATTTTCCCTGATTGATTTTTTTAATCTGTGTTAATTTAGAACCTGCAGTTATATAAACCCTTCATAATTCCCTTCATATAAACACTTCTAGTAATATTTTTATACAAAGTGCAGATGCAGAATTATCAATAAGTTTTCAAAAACTCTGATTGAGGTTTTTTCTCTCCTGATTATATTAGAAATATAAAGCTAGTATGTGAACAAATGTGAATTATATCTTAAGATACCCTGAGTTCAACTGGCAAGGAAATAAAGCAAATTGATAATTTTTCCTGTATTCTGTTTTTTTTTTCCTCTCTTTTTACTCTTTTTTTTCCCCTCTTCATTGCATGCAATACTGTATAGTGATTTTTTTCTTCTTGATATTTGTGATTCAAGAAATGAGGAACAAACAAAATGCTTTGAACAGCAGGAAAGGAAACAGAAAGTTCTGTTTCAGAGAGCCAATAAAAATGCATATTATACTATTTTGTTAATCCTCAAAAAAAGCAATCTGGACAGGATGTTAGTTTTCTACTGCAGAAGCCAATAGCGGCTGCAGGGCTATTTATATATTGTGGAAGAAATTGCAGTAAGTCACCTGGTATTCCAGCACAGACTAGCCAGTGTTGGGGGGTTGCAAGGATAGTCTTCTCTACTCACCTGTGAGAAATTTCCCTTTCTTGAGGCTGGCTTGGCTCTGCTCACCTCAGCAGTAACAGGACTTTCTTCTTAGATTGGGTTTCAGCTGGGCAACATTGGTGCCCTAAGCTTGTTTTCAAGTTGTGGTCACGGAATCACGGAGGAGCCGAGGTTGGAAGGGACCTCCAGAGATCATCCAGTCCAAGCCCCCTGCTCCAGCAGGGACACCTAGAGCACGTGGCACAGGGTGGCATCCAGACGAGTCTGGAAGATCTCCAGAGAAGGAGACTCCACAGCCTCTCTGGGCAGCCTGTTCCAGGGCTCTGTCACCCTCACAGGAAAGAAGTTCTTCCTCACATGGAAATGGAACTTCCCCTAGCCCCCTTTCTTGCCCTTGGGTCATAAAATCCTTAAATGCTCCATGAGATGATGGAGTACGTATCTCTATAAGAGATTAAGAGATTGTTTTACAGAGATACTTACTATCTTATTTCAGATGCATAAAAATCCGTGACATTTCTAGGGATGCCGACTGCTCTGCTGGAAAGTTTGAGAGACCCATAAATTGCACAAAGCTGAGAAAAAAATGCAGAAGGCTGAGCAGGGCTGCTGCACCCTCCTTCTGGCAGGCCTGTCTGGCAGAGGGATGTGCCACCAGCATGGGCATCCCCTTCGAATTATCACTCCCCAATGGTTTGAAGAGTGGGAAATCTTTCCTAGTGGAGAAGGAGAGAGAGGAGTGAGGAAACTGTGTAGAATAAAAGGGTAATTGACACCGGGGAGCCATGGGGTTTGGATTGTGGGTGGCTTTTCAAGTTCTTGATAAAATAATAGTTTGCTGGAAGCGGAGCAGAACTAATCCTATTCTGATTAGTCACTGGGAAGATGTTCATTGATATTGAAGAAGCAGTTCTTAATAACTTAAGGGTTCATGTTGGGACGGTCATTCTTCAGAACTTTGATTTCCAAACCCGCAAATGCATCAGAAAACTCTTGAACTACTTCTTACCTTTGCACATGAGCTGGCCTCAGTTAAGGTAAGGCAGCAGAGACTGTTCTGGTGACCAGAAGCTTGAGACAGTGGGCAAGTGAAGAGAACAAGGTGGGATTTTCAGCAGACACAAAAACATTCAATGATTGCTGTGTCCCATTTCCCTTAGACTGTTTCTTATGATCACCACCAAGGGAAAAGCCTGCTCCAGGAAAATACGAAAAACTCCGTATTTTCCATGTTGGCTTTCTCCCTTCATCCCCACTCAATTCTTTCCACATGATATCTAAATTGTTCAAATGGAGCCATCCAGTTGCTATGAAAGAATCTTCAGTAATGTACATGAGGCCATTTGCCATCCCTTCCCATACTTTCCAGTCATTTTTAAGATTTTTCTTTTTTCTAAAATTGTAATTATTCTTGTCTTTTGTGGTTATGAAAAGGACATAGCAATATTTGTCCTTAATCCCGGTAACCGACCTTTTTTTTCTGTTTAAACTTGGCTTCGTACAAGCAGAAACCCCCACACTTCAGTGATTCCAAGAAGAAAAAAAAAAAAACATAGCCACAAGGTTTCCCCAAAGATCTTACATACATCTGATTCACTTAACCTCAAAGATAATAAATTATGAAAATATTTGGACTGCTTTTCGTATATTCACAATGTGCTGTAACAGAGCCGCATTCTTCTTTCTGTGACAGGCAATGGAGAAGTGTGCGCTCAGCCAGTGCAAGTGTGGTGAGCATTTTTGTGGAATGCATAAGACCACTGGGGCTTTAGCCTCGATTATTTTATCTGTTTTGTTATTCCAGACTTTCACTCTTTAAAAGGAAGACAGAAGATATTATAGGCTGATTTAAGAAAACACACTTCTTAAGGAAAATATATTCCTCCAGAAAAGTGAAAGCTAAATGTGTCTCGCTGGGAGACCGACAAGAACAATGATGTTTTTAGTAATGCTTTATTAAAGGACTTAGAGAGCTAATCTTAATCATTTAATGAAATATGTTGCTTTGGGGCATTGGATTACATTCGTAATGAAAACAGATGACCTCCTCTTCTACTGCTTTACTGTATCCTCTGCAGAAAGCATTTTCTCTTCTTGTTGGTGCTTAGTTGTGTCAAACACGAAGTTGTATAATATTTTAAGTATTCTCTGTGCCAGAGCATTTTAAAGCTGCATAATGATGTAAACTCTCTAATTTATCAGTAGTGATTTCAGTGTTTATGTGAGTCCCTTCCAAGGCCCTGTTTTTTTACTGTGCTACTTTTCTCTTTTTCCTTCTTTTTCACCTTTCAGTAGAAGACAGTTAATGGAATGGCTTTCACTGTTGTGGTATTTAGCATGCGGAGAAGGCTTTTTTGTTTTGTTTTTTAAACAGCATAGTCAGATGTGTATAATCTGAAAAGTAGCACTAAGGGGGAAAAGTAGCGTCCCCTCTTAAGTCTGTAAAATTTATAAATACCCATTTCATGACTCTCTTCATTGACCCTTCTATATTAGAAAATGTTCTTCTTTCCTATAGGTTTTCTGCAGAAATATTCTAACCTTATTGCAGATTTCCCAGGCACTCCCTCATGTGCTTGATTTTGCAAGCAAAATGAAAGAAAGCCTGATCCTTTGATATGATGATCACTAGGAGCATATGCAGAACTTCTAGAGTTAAGGAATTGCCTGAAATACTGCTGAATCTGCCTGCTCCATTTGATCACAGCTGCACTTGCTATTTTTTGATGTTTTTACTTTTATGAATCCTATAGTAAAAGGCTCCGTTTTACTGAAAACAAAAAAACTATTTTAAACATGAAGTTAAAATGATTCAAGTTACGGAGCTGATTGTGCCTGCAGTGGGTGCTGCAGTCAGCTGTAGTTTATATACCTAAGCTAGAAGATCGGGCGGCAGAAGGGAATGGAGAGCCTGGAGTTTAGGGCAGAGGAGCACTGGGAACTTTCCTTGCTGTGGCTTACCCTCCTCTTCCCTTGTTTCCTAAGTTATTCTAACTGGAGTTCGATTCAATACCTTTAATTTGGTTCACCACTTATATCTGTCTTGCAGTTAGTTAATATCACCATGTGTTGCTTATTGATTTGAGCAAGAAACTTTGATTTGAAAGTCTGTCTTTATCTGGGTCAGAATTAGTGTCTTTCATCTGTATTTTAAGTAGATGCAGTAGTATGCTGTAAAAATTAAAGTATGTTCGGGGCAGAAACCAAGCTTATGGATGCTTGTCCAAAGCCAAGGATTTTTTGACTTGAATTGACTCTTTGCAGGCATCTGGTAAAAGTTATTCCCATGTTCTCTACTGATATAAGGATTGTACAGAGATATTTTTGCTGTGTTTGACATGCAGATGAGGGGCATGTGTGGCCTGATGGGAACCCTCTAGAGCTGATGCAAGGTTTTGTTCTCTCTTAGCATGTACTGGGAAAATTGCTTAATCCTTTGGGAGATGGGTTCAGGAAGAAAAGTTACAGACATGCAGGTGTGTATGTGAGTAGCTGTGTGTGTATTGTGTATGTCTGTGTGTGTTTGTAAGGAATGGATAGAAAGTGTGAAATAGTTACTGGTTCTTTTATTGTAACTAACCAAAAGAGGGGCATTTAAAAATTTTAGAAGCTTTTTTTTTTCCGAATTAGAAGAGCATCTGGAACTGGTAGATGTTTTTACGTCTCAGTATAACAACTCTTCAAACTGTACTTTTATTCAGGAACAAAAAAATAGCTTGGAGTTTTGAGGAAAATCCTTATTAGAAGAAATATCAATGAATGCATGCTTGTCAACTTCATCAGAACAAAATCTGATGAAGGCCTTTGATATTTTGTTATTTAAGAAATGTTTTGAGGTTGAGTGTGTTCAGTTGCTTGAAACATACAAGGATGCAGCTGACGCTGCTTTTGTCATGCAAATAATTGAAAGTCATGATTATTTAATATAAGCTACCTTGGCCCATTCAGTTTTATGCTTAAATGGCAATGTGTATCTAATTTTCTATCATAAATGTAGCCAGAATCAAATTAGTTTTATTTTTCTTTTTTTTTAAGCAAAAGTTAATGCAGCCAGTATTTATTTTCCTGGAAATTTTTAACAACATAGAACCAATGGGATGGAGACACTGTTTCCATGATCTGGCAAGTTTTGAAATGGCTCTGAATGATTTTTATTTATTTCTCCGCTTCTTCTTTTTGTAGGAAATTCCACTTATCTGGATGACCACGGACCACCTCTGCAAAAGGTGAGCTGACATTTTGCAGTTGGTTTCTTCTTGTTCTCTGTAATGCTAATTATGTGTTCACTTGCTCTGGAACATGTGCAGAGCCGCCCTGCTGAGATCAACAGCACTTGGCCCTGCTGGCTGCTTCTTTCACTCTTCCCTTTCTTAACTTGAGTTAAGTCTCTGATTAAGTTAGCAGGATTTTGTCATTGACACAAGGTGAGATGTGACTTTAGTGAAGACTTTTGTCTGTCATGTGAAGATAAGAATCGGACAAACTTCCCTTAGTTGTTCTAGGAAAGTTGCTGGTTGTTGCAATCACTGTTTTTTTTTTTTTTTGTGAAGTGTTTGCTTGCAAATGATATAGCGTTGGTCACACCTGGTGAACCACTTTCTTCTAGTTCTCACCGGGAGGAGGCGGGGGGACAAAAAACCAAATTGGTGCTAGTGTGGTTGAATCTCTGACTGTATCATTTTCTAAATCAGTGTGGTTATAGCATTAAAAGTATTCAGAAGCCAGCCCAAAGCCATGGTTAATAAGGAAAGTGAAGGTGGTCTCTTTGCTGGCAGCAGACTAACTTGGCTAGAACACAGACCCTAAGTGCAGTAATTGCAAGTAGAGCAGAAGGATACGAGTTGAGTACTTTACGATTGTAGAGTAAGATACCCATCAAATGTAACCGTGTAGCATTGGTGCTTCTCTGTGTGCCCACTGACAGGGTGAGAGGCAATGAGCACAAAGGAGCACAAACTGAAATGTTGCAGATAGTTAGGGAACGGCGGCCGGAAGATATCGTGCTATACGGAAAGATAGGGCCCCTAATAGCCAATAGTGTTTAGTCTATGGTGTAAGCAGACGGATGTGACGTTGTAAACCTAGCTATATAACACCTTGTTTCCCATCAATAAAGGCCATTTGCCGTCCACCACATTGGTGTCAACTAGCTGATGGCCCGAGTGGCTTGGGGGTGGTCACCGTGCCGTCCCTGAACCAGGTCGCTGCAGCCATTTGAACTGCAACATGAAATACTAGAAATTCCATAAGGAAACACTTCTTTACTGTGTGGGTTACTGAGCAGTGGCACAGGTTCTCTAAAGAGTTTGGAATCTGTTTCTTTGGAGATATCCAAAAGCTGACTGGACATGGTCCTGGCCAACATGCTCTAGGTGGTCCTGCTTGAGCAGGGGGTGCACTAAATGATCTCCACAGCTCCCTTCCAACCTCAATTACTCGATATATCTGTGATTTAATTATTCTCTAAAACCTGATTTTGTGATACCTTATGTCTGCCTCTCCAGGCAACAGTAAGGCCATTGCAACTCCTTTGGTACAAAAGCTATTAGCTGTTCCAGAAAAAGAGAACATTTCTCTTGACTTGTTTTAATTTCTCCACACTTGCTTTATTTCTGCAGGTACAGTATAAGACCTTTTTGAGTTAGTGGGATAGAACTAAGCTGTTACGCTGTGCAAGTAGAACACTTAAAAGTATACATTTCAGAAAGTTGCCTTTCCAAATTACGTAATATTTTTACTATTACTTGTAAAACTCCAAAGCAGATGGGGAGAAAGTTCTGTGATTGTGTATAATAATACAGGATTTATAGCTTAGCCCTGGCTGTGATTGTATTTAGTTTGAACCTATTCAAGTAATTTTGTTTTGATGAATTTAGAGGTCTGTGTGCTTCTGTAAATCCAATCAGTACTTCTACACCTTTAAGCAGAAATCTGACTTATTTTTAAAATTTTGCAGAAAGGGTGAAGTTCTCTCATCCCTCCAAGTGCAAGCTGCTGGGGAAGGTGCTGATTCTTCCCCAGTAGGGCAGGTTTCACACTGGGCTGACACAAGTGCTCGTGCAGTGAGCTCGAGCAGTTGCTGAAAATGCATCTTTATTTTGATTTAATATTCAGTCAGGTTATTTTTCTGACATGGCAAACAGTGAATGCTCATGTAGCTAGCTGCAAGGAGCAAGTAGTTGGAGATGGAACGAGAGCCAGGAGCCGCTCCTTCATGGCAGTCCACACATTTGCCTAAAGTGACCATGAAATCACATCCAGAGCCTCCAGCCTTTAGCCTGACTTTAATTGTTCAATCACATGTATAAATTAGGGTCCTGAAACAAGTGGATTTTGGTCTGCAGAAGGAGAGTCATGGGGGAAGGAGTTTGATTTCACTTAGTTCTCGGTTCAAAGCAAGCTAAAATAATCTGCTTTTTTTTCACATTTTGCTGTGTACACATGGGAACTGCAACTTCCAGCTGATAAGTGGAAAATTGATATGCTCTGGTAAAAGGATAAAGTTCATACAGTTTAATTAAAGAATAGCGATGTATTTGTTTTTCTTGTCATCAAAGAACACAAATTACACTTATTTTTTCTGCCTGCACAATAGCCACAGTCAGAGGTGACGAGATCAGCCTGTCAAACTCAACAATATTAACAGAGAGGAGGGGAAAAACTGTTAAACTAAACAAACGTTTCACACTTAAAACTGTTTTAGTACCCTCTTGTGCCCTTGAAAGACATTGTCTTTATTATTTGGGCACAGTCTCCTTCCCTTTCCCAGCAATGCTGCTGCTTGCATGGGAGAAAGTGATAGTCTAGCGTCTGCCAGGAGCCCTCGCCTTGAACGGATCAAGTAATGCTTATTCCAACCCCGTGTTCCTCCTGTTTGCATTAGCATTCAGAAATGACTTGCTGTGCCAATAAGGAAGAGGCTGTAATCTGCATAAGAGTTTTTAACCTTGAAATCTCTATTCATATTCACATGCTGAATTTGACATTGTGTGTCTCTTACTTCAGGGGTTTTGCATTACTATTAAAAGTTACCGTGGGTGGGAATTGTCATAATGCACAGTAGCAATTTATCCAGATTTTTCCTGTTTTCACTGTGCAAATTTCTCTTGTCTATCTAAACCTTTAATTTCAGGCTGTGTTCGCGCAGTGTCTTCCAGCTGCAGTTCAGCTGTGCACAAAGACCAGCTGATTAGGTAGCTATCTGATAGACTGAGGTACTTTTTTGAATGATCGATTAGTTACTTACACAGTCAGTAGAGGTTGGGGGCATCTGCTCTCCTGACTGGCAAAAGCTTAGTGCGTAGCTCAGAGGAGTAAAAGGATGTATCCTTATTTTAATGGCAGATATCTTGCTTTTTAAAGTGCTTGCCTGCATTTAGAAACACTGATAAAAGATGGATGCAGACATTTTGATCACCCTTGCACAGCATAGGTGCAAGCCTGCTATTTTCTGTTTGTTTGTTTGCCTGGTTTTTACCATTTTAATCAAAACATGAGTGGATATTGTTACTTCTTTAGTTACTTCTTTGAATTTGCTAAGAGCTATATTCTGCACTTAGATACTCTTGTGTAAATCTTATGCATTTCATCATTGACTAAGTGCAGTGGATTACCCTGCTTACGACTTTAACTCTGACCTGTGAACTGGTCTTGCACTGCTAACTCCTGATGATGCTAATGTAATGATCATTATCAGTCAGGTAGTCTCTATTCATATCACTAAGCAACTCCCTATGCATAGTGATAGCTGGTTGTGGCCAATTAATGGTCTAATTTGACATAGAAAGAGCTGTGAGAATAAATTAGTCCTGAATCCCACATTTAAAATAAATTCACTGCAGGTAGTATTTTCAACTGTGATACTCACAAGACAAAGATGACATGATGCAACGTTCTTTAGTAATGTGTATAATACATAGTTGCAAAAGCCCTAAATTTGCTTCCCTCAATCCTGAAAAGTACTTTCCTGGAAAGGATACTTTTGCCTTGCTGAATTTGACTGTGGTCGGTGTTACTTGGCAGTATTACGGGAAGCTCTCCAATGTTTTCCTAACCTGCTGTCTGCATCAGAGGGAATTACAGCACATGCTAAATGAAATGAAAATATGAATGGTGGATTTGGGAAGTTTAGGAAGTTTCAGAATCAAAATGATTGTAACTTTTTTTCATCTGCCTAAAAATGCTTAAAAACTAGAAATGCTATTTTTAAAAAATAAAGTGGTTGAGATATGGAACAATAATCCATGATCCAGGTTGAAATGAATGACAGCTAATATCCATGGTGTCTGTTTAACTGTAGTGGAAGGCCACAAACAGTTGATATGCACTAAATTATAGGTGTTTTGCAGAGCATATTCTAATATTTTGTTAAAAGTCATTTTCATTTTGGCTTTTCATCATGGATAGGTACCAAAACTGGCTTCTCTGTAGCAGCTTTTATTTATTTATTCCTTTAGTGGAAGGATTGAAAATAGCAGTTATTCCCCAGATAAAGAATAGTGTGCTTTCATTTCAGGGGATGAGGTTCTTTTCCCCTCTCCTCCCTGGTAAGAAGGCAGCAGCAATTTTCTCAGTGGAAGCAGAGCAAGAAATCTCTGCTCCCTGCTATGCACAAACATTGCTCATGTGGTTTGGTTCTTCTCTAAAAGTTTGCTCAGCCAACTTTTCAAGTGTTCTCCCCAAGAAAGGTTCACTTCACTATTAAAGAAAATGTTTCTGGGGTATGAAACTAATGTATGCAGCATAAACCACTCTTCTTTGGTGCTTTGGTATCAAAAACTTGACCAGAGTTTTATTATTGGGTCAATCAGCTCTAGTTTTAAAACAGATGTGTGTGTGCTTTTCTGCAGATAGATGCAATTTCCAGTAACCTCTGGCCTACCAACTTTCTGATTTTACAATGTGATATGTAAAAAGGGAAAATAGTTGAGCAAGACCTAACTTCCTACTGTAGCGCAAAAAAAAAAAAACCTCTTTAAATCAGTAACCTTGCATTTCATATATATATTATATATATATATATGTAAATATTTGAGTCTCTCACTCTCTTTATATCCATCCAAAAATAACAAGTTAAAGATATTTGCAAAATAATTGTTTAGATCTCCTTTCCATGTAGCCTGGAGTCCAAATATTGCCTATAGATGAGGTTGATTTGTTTTAAAAATACCTGTGCAGTTGATGTTAATTGCTGACTGATAAAATTTAGCTGATCTATTTCATGTGT